GGGGCGGCCGAGGGGGCGCGGGGCGGCGGACGGGGGCGCGGTGGGCGTTGAAGCAGGCGGGGCGTGGCGGGGCGGGACGTGCCGGGCGGGGCGAAGGCGAGCGGGACGGTGCGGGGCGGGGAGCGGGCCGGAGGCGGGGCCGGGCTGGGCGCGGGCGGGGCGCGGGCGTTATGGGCGCGGCGGGGGCGCGGTGGGGGGCGGGCGGGGCCGAGGGGGCGCGGGCGGGCGGGGCGCGGGGGCGCGGCGGGGCGTGAGCCCGAGGCGCGGTGGCGGGCTGGCGGCGGCGTGGCGGGGGCGTGCGGGGCCGTAGCGGGGCGTGGCGGGTCGGGCGGAGAGCGGGGGCGCGGGGCGTGCGCGGGGCGCGGGCGGGGGCGGGGCGGGCGCGAGGGGCGCGGGTCGGGGCGGCAAGCTCCGCGGCGGGGCAGTGAAGGCGAGGCGGGGCGTGCGGGGGCGAGCGGGGCGCGGGGAGGAGGCGGGGGCGGTTTGAAGGCGCAACCGGTTCTGCAGGATACACGTAACGCGCACGCGCCCTTGCACGTGCTTTGTCTCAGCGCGCGGCGCGACGGCAGCTGCAATTGTAGAGAACGTCCACTTGTGCCCCGTTGCCAAGTGGACTCCAGAAGAGCGTTACGCCGGATGCACAAGCCCATGTATATATTGTAAATATACAGGGGTAGTCTGTAAAAACGTTTGCTTCGAATCTTTTCTGGACGGTGCAAGATATTGGGATGAAATTTTCATCTAACGATTCACGCATCGTTCACCGTTTGAAAATGCAGCGCGTAAGAGGTGTAGCGCACGTTATTATCTCCAAACAATAATCGACACCGCGGTACACACATGTAAATAAAGCAGTCTAGCAATTGCGAAAGTAGCATCTGTTCCATTAAGACAGTCAATGATGGAGAGAATGCAGAGAAGATATTTCTGGGCTCGTGAGATGTTTTTTCTGCGGACAGGTTATTGAAAAACCTTTTAGAACTTTTTTCGACCCATGTGTGTAAACAACAACGTAATTTCAATGAATATTATTTCATTTGATTAAAGGTGCTGATAATGATACCGAATAAAATTGGGTGGTTACTTTTGAAAAAATAGTGTCAGTATCTATTACCGCAGAAGTTGCAACTCAATTGACTACACCTTTGCCCGGAAATGCCGCGATTTTCTCAGTGGAGCAGAGTAAAGTACTTCTTATTTTTTGCCTTCGGGAACCTACCGAAGCCGTTCAAAGCGGAGAGAACGAGCTCGCAGTGCAAATTGACCCAAAATAATATTTAAAAAAAACTTGTGACGTTATGTTTACTGTGGTGTGTATTTCGCAAGACCACACTTAATATATAAGGTTCCCCTTCTAAAGATCGAAGTTGTTTTAATGTGCTTGATGGACGATGTTACTCATGTGAATATACCGGTGATTTGTTTGACATGTGAAGTCAGTACTTCGAAAAATTGAGGGCTTCGCGCGGACATTTGTGGAAAGGGAAATTCGACCGAAATAGTTGTAAAGATCACCGCGCCTTCCAGCTTGACGTCAGCTCCGCTGCCCGGTGCCGCGCCACCAACGTTCGTTTATTTGCTTTTTGTACGATTTCGCCAGATTTATACTGTTTTGTTCTGTTAATTATTCATCAAATATTACCATATGTTGTATTGATTAATTTTCCTTCTGAAGACCTTTCTGTTCTTATAAGAAGATTGTTCCATTTTAAACAAATGGACTCAGTCAAATAACCTTAGAATAAAAAAGGCTATTAGAAAGTTAAGAAAGTTAACTGACGAGCGCCAGTGATCTAAATATCTGAATATATATTGATCTAAATAGAACCGTTTAGAAAATATTTGATATAGTCGTCTTTATTAATTAATTCTGTATATTTATTTGTATGAAACTTTTGTCAACGGTTTTGTGAAACGCGATTTATTGTTAAGAAGAACGTTTTCGTATTTTTTGGCATGTATCTGAGGGGAATATTGTGTACTGAATTGTATACGGTTGTATTTTACGAATTATATTTACAATTACTATTTCGTCGGTTGATTGATTAAGGTTTCTGGGAGCGTCAACTGCTAACGTCATTAGTCCCGTAATACCTTTACGGGACTAATGACATGAGCAGTTGTAGTTATTAACACGGGATTTGACGGTGTTCCTCCCCTTTGGATGGTGAAGAAGGGCTCCAACCTACACGTCGGCTTGCGGGCTTTCCCCATCCTAATATCTCCCACCAGCGGAGAATCGCCCCATCCGGGACAAGCTCTAAACTCCTTACTGATTTCTCGACATATGTGATAGTGTAGTGCATGTAGGCGCGGGTGTGTATAAGTAAGGGTTCAGGATAAGGCAAGGAAGAGAAAGGAAATATTGCGCTCGGTTCGTGGACCGTTTGCTGGGATTCTGTTCTGGCCGTCATCTGGAGAAACCATGGTAAACTATCTCTCATAGCACCGGCTGCTAGGATTCTTCCCAAGTCAGCGGCTGAATATGACCTCTATGCTGATTAAAAGAGGAAGTCCTTTCAAGGTTACGAGCTGGCAGGAGAGGGGAACACTAACATCGAATCGTAAACTTCGTTACGACATTTTTGGTATTGAAGCTCCCGATTGGATGTCAGTGCCTCTCTCTTTCCAGCTCGTGGCTTCCAAAGAACTGCGTGTTTTAATCGAAGGATAAATATCTAAATAGCGTCGAAAATCCTGTGACCGCCGGGACTCGAACGCAAAGCTTCCCAGTCAGAGGCACTGCAGTGACATCAATTGATGCCCTGAACCACCTACGCCGGTCTAGCAAAAAGAGAGCTTCCAAAAAACGTGAAAATAGGGAAGCTCCTTTTACATTCCAAAAGCAAAGCAACGGGTCATCTTAGCATTTCGGCGAAGGGACCAAGGGAATCAGGAGGAAAATCGTGTTGTGTTGCGAGTGCACTGACCTTCACGCAAGCGCACAGCGGCGCGCTCCTGGGTGCGCGGGGTTGCCGGCGACGGGGGCGGGGCGGGGGGCGGGGGCCCAGTCACCACCGCCATGCTCCACTTGGCTTTGGGATTTACGATCACCAGGCCCCCCATGCCGGCGAGGCTGTTCATGTTCTTGCTGTCTTGGCCCATGGCCGCGGCGGTCTCTGGCTCCGACCTGCAGCAGACCACACAAATTAGACTACAGTACAAACTTGAGTGAAGACGTAGGCTTCCGCGGCCAGAGTCATATGGGTGATCTGGGCTGTCCGGGTGACGCCGCGTCCGCAACACAGCCTTCGACGCGGCGTCACCCAGACAGCCCAGATCACCCACAGTACAAACTTGGGCAACAAAAATTAATCAAATCTTGGGATATTAACAGTATTTCTTGTAGACACACATGTGTTTATCACATAATTGAAAATATTATTTTCAAAGTGTTTTATTTCTATTTCTGTGTTGTTTTCTAGTTTTATGCACATTGCCTGGTCTATACCGCTGAAGTTGAATGACAATATTTAATCATTTAAACAAAGATATACAGAATACGAATTATTCACACCGGACCACCTAGTGTTTATTAATACCTAAACAGATTAAAAACCCCTGAATCGGGTTTACATTCCTTTGAAAACATTACGAAAATAATTTCGTATACATGATTTCTTACGGGGCAGGACAGGAGATTTTCGTAAAGTTTGAGTCTAATAAGAAAAAAATATCAATATACAACTAATTAAAATTACTTGTAATATGTTGCTAGTGGTAAAATATTCCCAAAGTGATGTTCAAAATATTGGAGTTTGTTCTCTTGGGTCTTTTACTCCTTTTTCGACCATCGAATTTTCACAATGTGGATGTTTGTCGAAAGAGCAACAGAACAAATTCGACATAATATTTTATACAATATATAATCCAATTTTGATCCGTATATTTGTAGAGAAACACTCTTGGGATTTAATTACCATTGTTGATATGGACATGATTGTTACAATAGTATGTTTTGTATCCCAAAATCAGTGCACAAACGTATTTTTTAAGTACCTTAATATTAGTGTCATTAACATTTTAATGTCTATGAACTTATTAAACAACTTCATCTTGTAAAATAATTTTTTTCAAGAGTTAAGAGCTTTCTGGGAAATGCATTAAAAGCGATTATTCATCTATTCACGTAACAACGGATGTCTTCTTTGTTCTTTGGAATGGGAAAACTAACCATCTACTGCTCTAATTTGAAGACACAGTTTTACACAGTTTTTTTTTCCAGTTTAGGTAATAATATCAATTAACACATATGTCAATACTCCACAAGTGTCAAAATATAGAAAATACTGAGTATCTACCCTGACTTATTATTTTCATGTCTTAACTAGGCTTACATGGAGAGAATGAGTACAAGACGCAATGGTGAAAAGAGGAATGAAAAATGAAGACTACACCGATTGAGAGATGTGGAGGCTGGGAAGCGAGAGACATCCTAGGATTTAATATATCTCGCCAACTAATACTATTTTTAGTTATTAGTAATATTAAGACATACTAGTAGTTTTAATATTCATATTTGATACACGTCTTTATCGTCATGTAAAATATTAAAATTAAAATTTTTAATTAATCTACAATAAAATTTGTAAGCAACTTTTGTAACAAGTGTACATTTTCAAATATTGACGAAGATATCACATTTTGAGATTGAAACGTCTATAATTTTTTTAATGACTGGAATTATTGCTTATTACTTAATTCAAAAATTATTGTTGTTTCTTTTATTGTATGAATAAGCCCAATTGGGACTACGCAAAGTGCTCGGATGTGTTTCTTAGCCTTTCTGCCCCTATTACTTTGGCTGTGCACCTTTTCTCTGTTCAGTTCAAACTTTTCATGTTCTACACTTTGATACTTGTTCCAAATCAGTCCGTCCTGACTGCACTTTAGATCTAAATGTCTTCCTATTTTGAATGTCTTCTCCTGTGATCCCTGATAATTTAAGGTCCTTTATTTAAGGTCCTTTATAATTTCGATGATCCATTGTATAGTGTCACTTGTTACTTTAGTTCTATCTCATAAATACATGTACATACATAAATACATATACAAGAGGTGGTATAGTAGTTGCATATTTGTTGCAGAATTCAGCTTCAATTCATCCATGTACGAAAGATAGTTTAAACGATAAGGTTCTTGCGCTCCGTTGTTGATGGCATAGCTGTATCCAGTAGAATTCAAGATACTGAATAGCGAGTTCATTGCCAAGACAAATCATAGCGGATTCAGCGAGTCACTTTGGAATATACCTCGTTGAATAGCAATCTTATTCGTTATTATTATCATCATCATCACCACCACCATCACCATCACCATCACCATCACCATCACCACCACCATCATCACCATCATCACCATCATCATCATTGTTATCGTTATCATTATTAAGACAGAACCAGCATCAATAGCTCCGCTGGTTAGAACATAACATCAGTGAAGTGCCGGTGCCTGCAAAATCGGAAATTCAATTCCAGGTGGATCTCTGAAATTTGCTGCATGAGCTCGCGCATTTGTGATTCCTGGCGGTAGAAGACAAGTTTAATATACAAATTCCCAGTAGCCGTATGACAAAATTTTGCAGCTCTAATTTATGGTATAAACAAGACGCGACGCGAAGCGAAACAGTGCTTTCAAAATCGTGAATAGCTATGATCCTAAACACCCAGCTAGCGATGGGACAAGGCCCTGCCATTTGTTGACCCTGCCATACCTCTTCGCGCTGCGCCCGTATTTTTTACCCTTAAGACTGCTTTTTTATTAAAAAATAAATAAATGTTATTAAAAAATTCTCAATTGAAGTTGAAGGTGACCTCGTTTAGTTCACTTGCCTGTATAGAATTACCTATAAGACCTTTTCTGTGAAGAAAAAATATAAAGTTTGTTGGGATACGTTAGTATTGTTTAATAATTCTCACTTTTTTAACATTTGAAATAT